ATGTTGAGAGGGAAATCTGAGCACCTATGGATGTGTCCAGAGTGCTGTGAAGATAATCCAACTCACAAAGACAGAGAAAGACAGTGCAAGAATACTCTTGACAGCTTTTTTGTCATGGCATGGAGGGGTGTCAGCGCATGAACGACAGCCTTTTGCTCCCGGAATTTACCTGGTATTCACTCAAGGCTGGGTTGACCTGATAGCCAAGGTCATTTTTTAAAAATCCAGCTCCGCTTTTCGGATTAGAACCCACGATTTTCTAATCCACAGGGCTGGCGTCTAGCAGCTACATTCAGTGCTACCTGATAGGAGAGGAACCAACAGTCTGCATACAGTAAGCCAGATCTGTAAAACAGATTTGTACGTAGAACTCAAGATCTGGAACAAGACCAAAGTACAGAAGTTGGCAAACAACCAGAAATTTCTGCCTGAGAATACAGCTGGTGAACATAAAGAAAAAGAAGAAGAACACATTGGCTATAGTTGTGTTTCTTTCCTTTACTGACTTCCAACCAAGCAATTCCAATTAGAAAAAAATATTTTGACAGACGGAAGACCACAGAGTAAGTTAAGGTCTCTTTTTGTTTTTACTTTATATTAATAAGCCTAATTAGGTTTTCTTCTCCCTCGAAGTTGTCTCCACCTTGCCGTGGTGGGGGAGCTTCTTGTGTTTCTCAGAAACAACAACAAAATTCATAATCTGTTTAAATCATCATTGATCCCTGGCATCATGAGAGCTAACAGGCTCAGACTGAAACTGAAATGGATGGGGCATTTTGAAAGAATGTCAGATGACAGAGAAGTAAAAACTGTATATACCAGGGAGATGAATGGTCGTAGAGATAATATCCAGACAGATCTACAAACAATTCGTGTTAGTAGTTACCAACTAGAAAGAGAAGGCCAACCCGAGAGATGAATGGAGGCGGGTGATATCTCAGAATATCTGCAGCAATGAATGAGCCTCAAGTTCAAGGGCTCGAATGCTGAAGTGCTGAAGAAGAAGAATTAGGTTTTCTTATTCGTTCTCCATATCTGCACACACATACAACAATGTGACGCATATTTGTATATATTTGATCTTTTTTAACTTTAAATGTATTCTGTCAAACTGGACAATCACAAACTATCAGGGCCAACCAATACAACATTCATTCAACACACCAATTATTACCGCTCACTACACTACAGAGGCCAAGCCAAAAACAAAAAATAGCAAAAAAGCAAAGTCCAAGTCGATTCCAATGGTGCAAGGCCTACCTTAAACAACTGTAAGTTTGCGAATGAATATGCACTTTCAATTGTTCAATGCGACCAATGAGACTAACTTCAAGGAACAATATTTATTATTTAATATATTTTCACTCACGCAGTTGAAGGACACGATTTTACACATTGTCTTTACTTTGTACTGCAATCACAAATTAACAAATCAAATACACTCACAGCAAGCAATACTTTAATCAGTGCGCATTTAAAAGAGCAATTTAGTTTACCAGTATAAACTTTTTACAGTTAATCGACTAATTATAATGCTTTTGGTAAATGTAATTGCTTTTTAAAGAACATAATGTCATGACTTGTGATAATATTTGTTATTTTCACGAAAGTTTATATTTTTGATAATAAGGCAGTGCTAGTCTATAATATGGGAAACAAATGGGTGTAACCTGGAGGCAAGAGAGACAAGACTCAAACAAGAGATACCAAGTGGTGAAACTCAGTTGTAAGTGGGAAACAACGAATTGAATCTGCGATCTGAATTATAAGGTTTGAATACTTCATTTAATTATGCAAGGAAAAGAACATTAAATAGTCCGTGAGAAATCTTGTTAAAATTTTGCTTGTTCATTGTGAGTATTAAAGATGAACGTCATTGCATTTAAGTCATACCCTTCAGTGCTCATGAATAAATCATACCTTCTCCTATGTTTCGCTGTATTTTTTTATTATTTGAAGTTTATCAGTACACAAATATTTTGGTCATGGCGGATTGGAAAGAATAAATAGTCAGAAAACATGGTACCAGGAAAGAGAGGCAGGGGCCAAGCAGCATGAAGATGGGCTTACCGCCGTAGGATATAATAATAATTGACACCTGGGTAGGAAAGTGCACGGATGAGAGCTGCTGAGAGACTTCTTTTTTCCCCTGGCAGATTACGATGAGAATGACTTTCGCATAGAACAGATGGCACGGATGAGAGCTGGTGAGAGACTTCTTTTTTTCCCCTGGGCAGATTACAATGAGAATGACTTTCGCATAGAACATGATGAATACTGTACAGGTTTGACTTGTTACTTTGAAAGTTCCTGTTCTGCCTTTTAAAGTTAATTTTTAACTTATTCATTGTAGGGATTTTTATAAAATTTATTTTTGTCTCATTCTATTATGGGAAGAATATTTCAGGGGAAGATTCTTGATTGTTAGTAACCAATCCTGTTATTGGAATGATCAGGATCTGCATTTATGAAATACACATCTGACCATCTGTGGATTTAGGAATTATGGATGACAGTACTACATCATCACACTTGCTTGATCATCTGAAGGTCGATGGTTCAGATCAAAATGGAGCTGAACTTTTTTTTTTTTCAGAAATGACCTTGGCCAAGCTTTGAGTGTATATCAGGTAAAGTCCTGGGAAGTAAAGGCAGCTGGCATGAGCTGCCCACCAAGTGCTGATTGGTATCTAAAATAAAAGTCTAGCCCTATGTTCCCATTATGCTAGAAGATATGGAAAGGAGTGCTTGACTTTACTGCAGTGAGTATTGATTGGCTCAGTAAGTAAATCTTCTTCAGCATTCTGAGCCCTTAAGGTTCAGAGCTGCAGATATAACTCTCACCATTCTGATTTCCGGGCCTAGATATCTGTTTCATGATGAAATAATATTTTATGAAGTCAGGGGGTGTTGACCCCCATCTGGAGGACCTTGGTGTCTTTCTTTGACTGTTCTCTACCCTTTGACCTCTCCAGCTTGGGAGGCCCTGCTAGTAGCAAGACTACTTTGGCATAGTTGTGGAAAGCACACGCTTCCCCACCATGCATATCTGAGTTATCATGCCCAGCTACTTCCATCAACCACAAACTGCATATCTGGTGGCGACTGGTGGCTTTGGCGCCCCGACAACTGGGACAATGAGGGACATTTCATTTGATTGACACTGGCACAGGAACGAAGCAAGTATGGGGAAACCCGACTGCAGTGAAGTTGAAACCATAGAGACACCTGCTGGAAGCTAAGATAATTAGTTTGTGTGCTGATGTCCTTCTGTAGTGTGATGAAAGGAATGTAGCTGTGTATCCTTTACACGACAGACACCAGCATTTTTTGCCTGTTTTGGTTTTTCTAGGCAAATTTTACATTCAGTAGTTTGCCATTGCTTTTGAACAACCAGCTCTACATACTACTGTCAAAACCAACGCAAGACGATCTGCTGCCAATTCACTTGCAGCTGGAGTCAAACCTGCACCCCAATATAACAAAATGCGTTCAGAACGCCTAAAGCTCAGATGCTGTAAAGAATTATTTAGTTAATTTTTGATATCCTTTCATTAATCAGCTGCGGTATGTTCCAGTTTTTCTTTTCTTAAAAGTGGTAAAATGTTGACTACTTTTCTGATGCTCTAATACATTGTATTTATGTCTTATCTTATTTCAAATCCCTTGAAAAAAACAAGTGTAATTTGTAGATCCATACATATACTTGATTCAGAGTGAAATCATAATTCTGACTGTGTCAGAGACAGAACCATTTTGAAATTAAAGAAGAAGAGATTGAGGCTTTTGAACTAAACTTTTACAGAGAAATTATTAATATTATGAATTTTGAAGAACCCTAACCCTAACCGCCACCGCTGAGAGTATCCCCCACGCTTGCTCGTGAGTCCTAGCCATCTAGTTTAGCCTCAATCCACACCACACAAGTGACGTGGGGGATACTCTCAGCGGTGACGGAAGTGCGCAATTGACACATGACCGAGGCCCTGTTAGGGTATATTTTCCGCCTTGATAATTTAGGACCGTTTTTCGGAGGATAGCGCCATGAACATATGCAATATTCAGCTACAGGATGATGTCATGAAGTAACAAGATAGAAAACAGCTGGAGTTATATTTGTACATTTCAAGGTTTGTTTAGTTTTATCTCCCACTTAAATTTTCTCCCTTGGAGGATTGCAGTATGTAGGATTAACATCTCAGGGATAAGAATCAAATAGGTATAATTCCTGAACAATCCCATTTAACTGTATAGCTATATAATTAATTATACTGAGGCATGACACAACAGTTACAAAGTGGTAGGTCTGCAGTGATTTAGAAGTCATTAATGTCAATCTCGATGAGATCATGTATTCCATACACTACTGTACATGCCCAGTCTGGGGTCTGCGTGGCAAATTGGTCAAGCCGTTTCCTCACATTCTGAAGGTTGTGGGTTCATTTCGCTTCTGCACTGTTCATTTTGCAAGTGCATTTTTTAATGGAGATCCTTGGGGATCGTCGCTGGAGCTATGTTCATTGCTATGCAGGATGCTCTCAGCGGGTGTCTAGCCATTCTGCGAGAGACCAGTGTCGTGTGGGATAAAACCCAGTGCAGTGGGGCCGACCCTCTCAACTTTAACCTTTAAACTCTTTCAGTCCCAATCTGTAATTACTTAAACTCCTATTCCAAGAAGCTGGGCTAAAAATCAGCAGATACTTAGCCTAATGAAGTTTAGCAAAGTTGGGGCAGAAGTAGTTCAACTAATAATTCTGATACAGAGGGTAACTAAACCAACAGTCTGTGATAAAAGACAGCAAGCATAGTATATTGTCTTTGAAATGATCAAGGAAAGTACGGTGAGTTGGTTGGGGCTGAAAGAGTTAACATCCCTAGTTTAATTAAAGCAGCTGACTGTCTCCTCTATAACTATATAATGTTTTCAGGTTTCTGTTGCATTACCTCTACAGCATTTGCACAAGACTTCACATGCAAAGACGAGCTAGTCAGCAACTAGAATGAGCGGAGGAAAGGTGGATATAAAGGTTGTCCTTCTTGGAAAAGCATATGCAGGGAAAACCAGTCTGGTGGAGCGCTTCATTCATAACCGGTTTCTTGGAGATACTGTCCCATATCAAAATGTAATTATAAATAACTTATTCTCTTGTAGGTGTATACTGTAAGACCTTTCTTCTATTTAGTTTGGCAGATATGTTTGTGTTGTTTCATCCACATATGGGATGACCATGTTTACAGTTTATTTCCTGAAAACTAATGTGAATAAATTAACAAGTAAACTTTGATTTTTAAAGGTCAACCACTGGGCATGCAAGTACATCCAACATTTGCCCCTTCCAATCACTTATCTTTCACACATAGACCCACTGCCCCCTCCAATCACTTATCATTCACACATAGACCCACTGCCCCTTCCAATCACTTATCATTCACACATAGACCCACTGCCCCCTCCAATCACTTATCATTCACACATAGACCCACTGCCCCTTCCAATCACTTATCATTCACACATAGACCCACTGCCCCCTCCAATCACTTATCATTCACACATAGACCCACTGCCCCTTCCAATCACTTATCATTCACACATAGACCCACTGCCCCTTCCAATCACTTATCATTCACACATAGACCCACTGCCCCTTCCAATCACTTATCTTTCACACATAGATCCATTGCCCCTTCCAATCACTTATCTTTCACACATAGACCCACTGCCCCTTCCAATCACTTATCTTTCACACATAGACCCACTGCCCCTTCCAGTCACTTATCTTTCACACATAGACCCACTGCCCCTTCCAATCACTTATCTTTCACACATAGACCCACTGCCCCTTCCAATCACTTATCTTTCACACATAGACCCACTGCCCCCTCCAATCACTTATCTTTCACACATAGATCCACTGCCCCTTCCAATCACTTATCTTTCACACATAGACCCACTGCCCCCTCCAATCACTTATCTTTCACACATAGATCCACTGCCCCTTCCAATCACTTATCTTTCACACATAGACCCACTGCCCCCTCCAATCACTTATCTTTCACACATAGATCCACTGCCCCTTCCAATCACTTATCTTTCACACATAGACCACACATAGACCCACTGCACTGCACGACTTATTATTCACACTCCAATCACTTATCTTTCACACACATAGACCCCCTGCCCCCTCCAATCCCTTATCTTTCACACATAGATCCACTGCCCCACATTCCAATCACTTATCTTTCACACATAGACCCACTGCCCCCACTCCAATCACTGCCCCTATCTTTCACACATAGACCCCTGCCCCTCCAACACATAGACCCACTGCCCCTTCCAATCACTTATCTTTCACACATAGACCCACTATCTTTTATCACACATAGATCCACTGCCCCTTCCAATCACTTATCTTTCACACACAGATCCACTGCCCCTTCCAATCACTTATCTTTCAGTCATAGACCCACTGCCCCTTCCAAACACAACTATCTTTCACACATAGACCCACTGCCCCTTCCAATCACTTATCATTCACACATAGACCCACTGCCCCTTCCAATCACTTATCATTCACACATAGACCCACTGCCCCTTCCAATCACTTATCTTTCACACATAGACCCACTGCCCCTTCCAATCACTTATCTTTCACACATAGACCCACTGCCCCCTCCACAACAGGCATTTCGTAAAACTTGATTAATTAAGGGTTTGCTGAAATTCTAAGATGAATGTTACGAATACCTTGGACAACCAGAGTAACTAACAAGGATTGCTTGAAAGAAGCTAATGAGAGTCGATCTCTATATACAACAATAAGAAAGAGACAAACACTGTTCTTTGGCCACATAATGAGAAGGGAGACATTAAAGAACATCATGACAACTGGAAAGATCAGTGGAAAAAGGGGTAGAGGGAGACCAATAGAGATGCTGGATGGGCTGAAACGATGGCATGGAGGGATATCATCAAGAGAGCTGTTCCAGGTAACCATGAATCGTGATCTGTGGAGACACATGTTCGCCTACGCCAGTTGGCAGTGCACATGATGATGAAATTGGATCTATTGGACCAAAAAACATGGTTGTTGCAGCCTAACTGTAAACCAGAAAACAAAATCCCATCTGCTCTTTTAAAGATGAAGAAGAAGAGGTATGATGACAAGCTAGATGTTGTGAGAGCCCTTTGGGAGAGAGTGAACAGTGCGGAGGCACAAATAGATTACTGCGGTCTGAGAAGAAAGGCGCTGGTGGAATTACTGGGGATCTGGCCGATGCTCAGCATTCAGAGGAAAGTGAGATGGATATACAGTCAGTTACTGGTGCCATCAGAACTGGAACTGTCTGATGCTAAAGATGGGGATGGGGCGCTTATGGGAGTGTCCAGAGTGCTGTGGTGTTGATTCAGCACTGAAGAAGAGGATCCACAACCTTCAGAATGACTGACAAAAAGCATCACCACTTTATTGTATTTGAGGTAAAAAGCTGGCATATATTTAAAGACTGTGCTCCTGGTGTCTCCAGTGGTCTGTCTCTTCAAGCATGTATGAACCTCTAGGTCAAATGCATGCTACCTGAAGTAGCACACAGATAGGCCCAAAGATCCTGGAAGTGTTTTAAAGTTGTGCATACCAGTGTCTGAAATTTGGAAACATTTAACAGTTTTTTTCCCCAGATTTTTCAAACACCAAGGGGTGATGGCTGAGTGAGCAGTTTGGACGACAGTCACTTGCTAAGATTTTTAAATCTGTTTAGGACAATTATAAAAAAAAACCTGATGTGTGTACTTCTAAGCACATTTGTGAGTGGATGGTATACCTTCACCTTGAAAACAATTCTCCAAACAGGCACCAGTGATGGTTAAGATTGGTATAACTATATTTTTGTTTTAATGTAAAGAATTTTCTGAAAGTTTGCATAATTTTATACATAAATATTAGTTTCCTTAAGAGTATCATCATTCAGAATGGGTGATACTTCAGCAGCAGTTACAGCTGTGATATTACTTTTTTTGTTCCTTGTACTAGACCATCGAGTACAGTAGTAGTATAACTAATTATGTTTTGTTCCTTGTACTAGACCATCGAGTACAGTAGTAGTATAACTAATTATGTTTTGTTCCTTGTACTAGACCATCGAGTACAGTAGTAGTATAACTAATTATGTTTTGTTCCTTGTACTAGACCATCAAGTACAGTAGTAGTATAACTAATTATGTTTTGTTCCTTGTACTAGACCATCGAGTACAGTAGTAGTATAACTAATTATGTTTTGTTCCTTGTACTAGACCATCGAGTACAGTAGTAGTATAACTAATTATGTTTTGTTCCTTGTACTAGACCATCGAGTACAGTAGTAGTATAACTAATTATGTTTTGTTTCTTCCACTAGACAATTGGTGCAGCATTTGGTGCCAAAACAGTGACAGTCAACAATAAAAATGTGATTGTTGGAATATGGGTAAGTGGGGGTGTTACTATTTATTATTGATATTTGGGTATGGTAGTCAGCGCATAATGTTGTTATTACCTACTCGGAAGGGTGAGAATGAGTGTCAGAGAGCGCGAGCTTACCATATTTTCCAACTATAAGGCACACTTATTTCCTAAAAAAATAAACAGTTTGTGTCTCATACAGTAATAGATTTTTCCAAAAGGATTTTTTAGAAAATATCCTATACAGGGCCTCATTTGCAAAAAAGTTCTATGTCACTTTAATATTTTTTGCACTTGTCTTCTTGTTCATTGTTTCACGCTTGTTACATTAGGAATCGTAACTCCACTAAGATTCAACCACTTGATGTCAGCATTAACAAACCCTCAGAGTTGCCATTGTATTTCTCCAGCATGGCTCTTTTGAAAGCGTTTAGTACAAGGCAACTTATCATTAAAAACTAGTGCATGTGTGTACATGTAAAATATACTTTTAAAACATTTCTTCTGATTTGAAATTTATTTTATTTCAAACATTTCTGACACCTTTTCTGAAGGGTTATTCCACTTAAAATGGTTGCTTGGCATTCAGACATTCTGATCCCTGAATAGTACTGGCACCTGAAAGAGTACAACAAAGACTCTTCTCCTAGCCCTGGACTAAAGTACAATCTCCACAGGGACTGTGCAACAGCTTCTTCTTCTAGTGATTGCTTTCATAATTTACTGTGCTTTCATAATTTACTGTGCTTTCATAGTTTACTGTGCTTTCATAATTTACTGTGCTTTCATAATTTAATTTACTGTGAATTCATAATTTAATTTACTGTGCTTTCATAATTTAATTTACTGTGCTTTCATAATTTAATTTACTGTGCTTTCATAATTTAATTTGCTGTGCTTTCATAATTTACTGTGCTTTCATAATTTATGGTGACATTTGAGTTTTTGGGATAACATTGACTATTTTTGTATAGTTCCTCTTTAGTTCCATACAACTTTGGGTTCGTATAATGGTGTGATTTGCGTAATACTGTCATTTTTATCCCCCTTCTGGCCCAGTGATGCAGACTTGAGGATCTCTTTAGAGGAAGAATGAGCTCATCCCTTTGCTTTTACCCTGTTTGTTGCCTCATCCAGGTTCTCACTGGGGTTTAGACTTAGGGTGACCACAATGTCTTGAGCTGAAAATAGGAAATGGGTTCTGAGTCACCGTGGGGGTGGGGGGGGGGGGGTGGGGTGTATAGACCCACTTCCACCTAACAAGCATACAGTAAGTGTCCACTAAGGCATGTTTTCTTTGAAACCGGAATGCATATGCTTGAGTAATGTGGAAACAGCAGTCTCATGCAAGTATCCTAGATCTGTAAAATGGATGTGCACACAGAACTTGAGTTCTGAAACAGAACTAACGTCCAGAAGTGGATGAACAACCAGAAATTTCCACCAGAGTTTACAGCCAGTAAAAACAGAGAAAAAGAAGATCTTATGTGATTGGCTGATAAATAAACAGAAACTGGCTTTTTTGGTTTTATCTACTGTTGAATTGTTAACTGATATATAAATAAAAGCAGTTTTGGGCTTTTATACCATGTGGTTGGCTGATATATAAACAGAAACTGGTTTTGTGCGTTTTATCTACTAATGAATTGTTAACTGATATATAAACAGAAGCAGGTTTTGAGTTTTATACCATGTGGTTGGCTGATATATAAACAGAAGCATGTGTTTGGCTGATATATAAACAGAAACTGTGTCTTGCGTCACTGACGGACTTGTGGTTGGCTGATATATAAACAGAAACTGTGTCTTGTGTCACTGACGGACTTGTGGTTGGCTGATATATAAACAGAAACTGTGTCTTGCGTCACTGACGGACTTGTGGTTGGCTGATATATAAACAGAAACTGTGTCTTGCGTCACTGACGGACTTGTGGTTGGCTGATATATAAACAGAAACTGTGTCTTGCGTCACTGACGGACGTGTGATTGGCTGATATATAAACAGAAACTGTCTTGCGTCACTGACGGACTTGTGGTTGGCTGATATATAAACAGAAACTGTGTCTTGCGTCACTGATGGACTTGTGGTTGGCTGATATATAAACATAAACTGTGTCTTGCGTCACTGACGGGCTTGTGGTCACGAAGCCATGAGCAGAATCTATTACAGAGGAGCAAAGGCGGCCATTATTTGTTACGATCTCACAGACAAGTCTAGTTTTGACCGGGCCAGATTTTGGATCGGAGAACTGCAGAAACATGAAGAGGTTCGTGTGCACATTTTGCTACAGATGGTACATTCTATAGTCCGTCTCTAATATCTGTGATTATGGTGATGCACATTAGTTTCCATTTTTTTGTGTGCACATTCTGCTACAGATAGTATATTCTACAGTCTGTCTCTAGTATCTGTGATTATAGTGATGCAGAGTAGTTTCCATTTTCTGTGCACATTGTGCTACAGATAGTACATTTTATAGTTTCTATATGGTATGTATACTGGATGCTTTTGGGTAAAAAGGGATAAATTATTGGACTGGCTTGCTAATCGGACCATGAGAGGCACAGGAAAAGCCATGGATCAGGCTGATGTTCTCACTGCAGTCATGGAAGCGCAATGAATAGATGATTGAGGACTACCAAGACTGCAAGAACTTTGCATCAAAAGAGATGTAGCCAAACATGGACACTATACACGTGGCCAAAGAAGAATGGTAAAGCAACAGATAACTTGTGTTTTCAGTCACCACCTGCTGGGGGAAATATTAAAGATGACATCCGAGTGCTTATGGACTTGTCTGATGTACAGTGAAGATGATTGGTTGATTAACTGGTGAGGATGATTGGTTGATTAACTGGTGAGGATGATTGGTTGATTAACTGGTGAGAATGATTGGTTGATTAACTGGTGAGGATGATTGGTTGATTAACTAGTGAGGATGATTGGTTGATTAACTAGTGAGGATGATTGGTTGATTAACTGGTGAGGATGATTGGTTGATTAACTAGTGAGGATGATTGGTTGATTAACTAGTGAGGATGATTGGTTGATTAACTAGTGAGGATGATTGGTTGATTAACTAGTGAGGATGATTGGTTGATTAACTAGTGAGGATGATTGGTTGATTAACTAGTGAGGATGATTGGTTGATTAACT